TTGAAAAAAACAAAAGAAAGGAAGTTCTCATAACTTGCCTAGGGTTTGACATACAGTACAGTTTTTATTCCATTTTATTCCATTTTGAATGTGTCAGGCTGCAATACTTCAGTGAAAGTCCAGACTTGGGAACCTTACCTTCTCTGTGGAGTTCGCTTGACATTCCCATGTCTACATAGCTAGTGCCCTGATATCCTCCCATAGTCCAATGGCATGGACATTCCAAGTGACATGTCTAATAATAATAATAATAATAATAATAATAATAATAATAATAATAATAATAATAATAATAATAATAATAATAATGACCGTTGTTGTTGTTATTATTGTTATTATTTTGGACCTGGTTAAATAATACTACTTTTAGAAGAATTCATAGTACATAATGTAGGAATAAATCAAATAATGTATTCAGTTTTACTCTTGCTTTTCTGCATTGTGATACAAAGGGAAAATGCCCTCACCAGTAACAAATCAACAGATTACAGCTCAGCTTTCTGACAAACGGCCTTGTGTTTCTCTAGTACTCAACTTTGCAGCAAAGCTAGTCTGGACATGTGGCCATAAAAGGTGTGAGATTCCTTTCTTAAAGGGATATAGATCCCGTATCTCCGCTAAATTTGCTGTAAAACCTCATCAGAAGGAAACACAATAGCACCTTTGATTTAATTTTCACATGCAGTAGTCTTCTGGTGGATTGCCTTTAATCAGCAAAAACAAAAGAGAAAACTATGAGCGTCTCGGCTGCCCTGTTTAACCTCAGTTAGAGAACTGTAACGGCACTCTGCCTCTCTGCCTGCCCTATTGTGAAAAGACAAATGGAGCTGATTGCTCCCCTCACACCTGAAGAAGGCTTCACAGCTGAAACGTTGTGTTTTCTCTCTTCTCTTTTCAGCATGGAATAAACCTATTACTTGTTCCTTTGATTACTTTCTGTACATGTTAAATGATCTTACTCGTAATTAATGGTTTTGCCGTATTCTGTCTTCTGTGTGTGGTTAGTGCTTATTGTAGAAAATGGTTTGCTGGTTCAAATCCAGGTGGTTTAGATATCATCGTATGCGGGACTTCCCTGTTTTTTAAAAGGTCTGTTTTGGAGAAAAAGCTCAGTAGAACATATCAAATCGTATTTATAATGTATGTGCCACTGAACTGCAAGTCGATATTTGACACACACACCGATTAAAGAGCTATTGATTAGAATATTTCACTTCACAATTTTCCCCCTGGGGATATACGCAGTGGATATGAAGTGCAAGTTACAGTTCATGTCAGGGGAATGTACTGCACACAAGCAGTCAATAAGTTTAGAAAGAAAAAAATGCTAATTTTATCATGACTTAAAACTGCTGCTCTCTGAAGAACAGCAGTCCGTGAAACAGAAAGTATTGATTTCCCACACTGAGGAAGAACTGGGTGCCAAAGGCTTCTTTTAACCACAGGCTGAGGAGAAAAACAAATCATCTTCCATTGGTATGAAAAGGTAATGAAATGGGGGCTGTTTACTACTCCCTCACCTTTTCTTACTTTTAAATGGTTAGTCTTCTCTGGCCCTGTTTGTTTATTAAACTCAGGAACTGTTTATGAGGGAGGATGGTGGCTGGGACCATTTTCATTTCCACCAGTGGAATGACTGCTTGCTGTTTTCCAGAGGATTATTCACTGAAACACAGTTGTCACATGGTTTGTATTTATCTAAAAAAGACAGCAGTTTTTTTCAGTCCTACTTTTGCTTGTATTGTTTCATTGAAAAAAAAAAATGTTTAGAAACAACTATATTAAATAAAATGTGAATATATGTATAAACTTGCCCCTACTCTGGGGGTAAAGAAAATATTTGACCTTTAAATGTCTGCATGACACATACATGATATATAGAGGTAAAAATGTAATAAATTCATTTGCCTTTAAAATCATTTTCAGATGAGCAGGTTTACAATTGCATTGTAGAGATTAGCACTGTGTTAATTACATACCCTGCAGGTGATGCACATGAAGTCACGAAGCCCTGCCAAAACTGCAAGATGTCATTAATATTCTCCTCTTAGAAAGTGAGCCTGAGCATCTTTTCTTTACATCCAGCTACAAAGATGAAACCATCACATATTAAAGATGCAATTGTTGTTTTGCAAGGCTTACTGAACCAGTTTATCTCCATTCCGCGAGTACAAACGCTTCGTGCGATTCTATGAATGACGTCTGTGCACAGGAAGACAGGAAGGCTATAAGGCGAAGCCACCAGACACTTCTCTCTGTCTAATGGAGGAAACCCATGACTTCCTGTGTCACAGGTCTCTGTGCTACCTTTTCATTTGGCAGGAATAAAGTTCGAGATATGTCAACGGTATATCTCGTTAGCAGACAGAAGTCTGTTGCAGGGGCTATTCTGCGTCCTTCCTCATAGTTTCAGTGTTTACAGTTCATTGAATGAACTGATATGAAGAATACAAAAGCCCCTTGTATAGTTGAAAAAATGTCAGAAAAAAAACAGAAGAAAGCAATCACAAAGAAATCATACTAACATTCTGTTGTTTCTAGGTACTAGGAGTAACCTGCATTCATCTTCCACCGTGCAGGAATATTTGTGTGGGTGGGAAAAAGACTTTACCTTTATTTGCACATGTCATGTCAAAAACGGGTATTTCATTTCCTTAGGTATCTCGAAAAAGCAGAAACTGTGTGGAAATACAACTCAAATTCAAATCGAGAATTCAAATCAAGGAAAGCTATGTTACAATTGCATAACACACTAGTAAGGCTTCATTTAGAACAGTTTTTGTCACCAACGGTACAGTTTTTGTCGCTGTGGTATAGGACAGATATTTCTGCTACTGGAATCAGTGCAGAGAAGAGCAGACATTACAGGAGCTGAGAAGCTAGGCTCCTACACTGACAGGCTGAAGGAACTGAACCTTTTTAGTCTTGTACAGACAAACCTATCATGTCTGATGTATTTCAGACATATCCCACGATTCACAGCAAGGATAGGACTAATTTAGTTGCTAGCTTTAAGACTACGTTTTTTTATTTTCTTTAAAACATAAGAAAGTATTAAACTGAAACGTTATACTTGCACCTCTCAAAATCTTAATGTACCGATTCTGCCGAATACATCAGTGTGTTCTCAACGCCGAGACGCCCTGAGGTTTACACAAAACCCGTGCAGAAAATGATTGGTGCCACTTCGCTGTTTTATTGAAACAGCCCCGCCTAAGTCCCGAGCAGGAAAAAGGCAGTGAGTTATGAACCCTTCTCACATCACAAGCCACAAAGGCAGAGGAATGTGTCAGACAGAAACAGATAACCCCCACCTGCGCTAGCGAGGCTGCATGACTCACTCACTTCGGTACACTGCTCTGCTTATCAAAGGTGCTCAACTACAGCGCAGTTACTTGCAGTTACATTCTTCGCCAAGTATCGGCTGTGTCTAGGCAATGACAACCAGTAGCTAGAGAAACGTATGAAATGGTTTTAAATAAATGGAGAGTTTGTTTTTCCGAGAACGTATTCGTTTAAATCAACTAAATACATTTCGGTTCGAAACTATTGCCAGGGCCATTGCAGTTTCTTTGGGGGGTAATGAACATTAAAGAAGACATACTTTTATGTAGGATAAGGATTAATGAGCGTTTCCAGTTGAGTGTTTTCTATAGTGTGTTTCTCACAAAAAAAGCGCAATATTGAAAGAAGTATATATTGTATTACGATAATATTTTGTATTTTTGTAATATTGTATATTTTGTAAGTAACCTTGGATCAGAGATACTTAAATAATAGCAGTTCATCGTGTTTCGTTCCTATAAAAAACAGACCTTTGAGCAATTACAGGTGACGCTGTTTATGTGCATATGCACGAATTATTTGTAATCCTTTACCATCTCGTGATGCCTTAGTGTTAGTTTGCACATGATAAGTAAATTTGTCTGGAAATGTTTCGTTGTGAGTCACTTAAAGTGGAATTTTATTGCCGTAGTTTTCTATGCGCTTAATTTAAATCCATTCCCTTTTTCCTCAATGAGTGGCGTATTATTTAAAGCAAACAAGCGCATTAGCTGATGGTATTTTTTGTTCAGAAGCAGTACAGATCTTGAGAGACACCGTGTGTCTCTCAATTGACAGCGGATAGTGGTACGACACATAAATCTACATATTCCTATAAGTCTTTAAGTACACTGTGATCAAAAGAAGCTAAACGACATGTGAGGATGCTTTTATAGGGTCATTGTTGTAAAACAAATGGCGTTCAGCTAGAGAATACTGGCTTGTCTGCAAAAGAAGGTTAAGATTATGTAAAGTATGTTCATTGACTGGAATCAGGAAACAGATTTAGTATGGTTATTGTCTTCCCCGTCGCTTGTTGTGTACCAAAAAAAAAAACAGCAGTGAACGCTGAAACCCATATGCCAATATATATATATAATTCACACTGTCTTATAAAAAACAGCAGTGAAGCGTTCAAACCCAAGAGTCAATGTATATATAACAATCCACACTGTATTATAAAAAAAACATGAGTGAAGCGTTCAAACCCAAGTGCCAATATATATATATCCACGTTTTATTGTCAAACCTAGCAGTGAGGCGTTCTAACCCAAGTGCCAATGGCTATCTAAAAATCCACACTTTATGATAAAAACTAGAGGCCAAGAAATCGCTTTAAACCCAACCTCTATTTTCTTAGACCGGATGGCTCTGGATATGCATTAATCGCCTTTACACACACCTAGATTCCCCTCCTTTTGTGAATCAATCTGTTTACAGCAGCGCCAGCTGAATGGGGCATTTCCTCCACTGTGAATGCGTCTCGGTGAAGAAGGGTGTCGGGGGTTGATGAGTCATGAAAGCACGCCGTTAGCAAAGACTGGGCGTGATTTGTCCCCCCCGGTATCACACGCCTGTACACAAAAGGTGAGTAGGGGAAAACCGGGCGCAAGAGTCAGACGGCGAGCTCGTCGTTACCCCTTTAAGAAGCTCAGCCCAGCCTCTGAGCCGTGACGCGCAGACGCTGCGCGCTGTGTCTGTGGGCAGGAAGAGCGTGGTCAGAGTGCGTTGATCACTCCTTCTACAGTAGCAGTGCACAAGGAAACAGCAGGGCGCAACATGTTACATTTCTGATGCTGGGGCACGGTTTAAATCGCCTCGCTTCTCGCCCGACACGCAGATCCTGCACGATCGCCGCGGAAATCCGAAGAGCCGGGTGGAAAGGGGCGTCCCGAGGCTCGGGGCTCCTGAAGGTCTGAAAGCGCACCGGGGCGGCCAGCGGCGCAAAGCGCAGCCCAGAGAAAGCGAGGCGGAGAGGACTATTTCAGAAGCCATGAGAGAATACAAAGTAGTCGTGCTTGGATCGGGCGGAGTGGGCAAATCGGCTTTGACTGTGCAGTTTGTAACGGGATCCTTCATAGAGAAATACGACCCGACCATAGAGGACTTTTACAGGAAAGAGATCGAGGTGGACTCTTCGCCTTCGGTGCTTGAGATTTTGGACACCGCGGGGACGGAGCAGTTCGCCTCCATGCGAGACCTGTACATCAAAAACGGGCAGGGCTTTATTCTGGTCTACAGCCTGGTAAACCAGCAGAGTTTCCAAGACATCAAGCCGATGAGGGATCAGATCATCCGGGTGAAGCGATACGAGCGAGTGCCCATGATCTTAGTGGGGAACAAGGTGGATTTGGAAGGCGAGCGAGAAGTGTCCTCGGGGGAAGGGAAGGCGCTGGCAGATGAATGGAATTGCCCCTTCATGGAAACTTCGGCCAAAAATAAAGGCTCCGTAGACGAACTCTTTGCAGAGATTGTCAGGCAGATGAACTATGCCTCGCAGCCAAACGGGGACGACCAGTGCTGTTCCTCCTGTGTTATCCTTTAAAACATATTTTCTCAACAACAACAACAACAAAAAAAAGTTTGCGATGGTGAGTGACTCTAATACACAACTAAAGATCCGAAGACTAACCAGTTTGGTTGATAACGTTATGGTGTAATACGTCGACTGTATCATGATCAGTATTTTTTTTAAAAAAAGTGTCCTGCTGTCTTGCACACTCTTCTTACAAAACGTGATCCAAACCCAGTGTTTACATGGCAGAATACGCCTAGTGTTCTGGGAATAAAAACAAAGAAGAAAAAAGACATTTGCATTTTTGGAAATATCGTTGTCGAGTGCCTAGGTGGTGATATTTATTTACTTAAAATGCAAAGAAAAAGACCAACACGTCTGTTTCTTTCTGTCCTGGAAATCTGTTGTAGGGTTTCATCCTTGATGCGGGGGTTCCTGAAGATATCTCTTGGGACGGAATAAGACTTTTTCTGTGTGGCTAAATGCGAGGAGAACATGTTCACGAACCGGGAAAAAGGAGCACCCCGTAAAGGGTCACCGAGATTGTAAGAGCTCTGCACGGAAGCAGAAAACGCGGTGTCATCTGTTGCACCCTTAACTGGAACTAATCAGACTCTGCTGTCGGGAGCAGGAACGGGCAAGTTCGTTTCTGGGGGGGAAAAACATATTTTGTACCTGCTACATAGAGTTGGGAGTTAAGGAAATCAGTGGTATTTTCAATTTGGGAAACACACATTTTAAAAGAAGAAAAATAACTTTTTTTTTGCTTGATCAGAAAAACCTGCATCATCTGAGCAGTGCCACCGTAACACCGTCAACGAAGACCTTAATTAGTGATTTGGGGACGCCAAGAGCCCCGTGTCTACTAGTGCCTTCCAAAATCAGCTGTTTAACTTAGTGCCAACCTACGAAAGTCTCCACCCAATCCCATTATCTTGCAATCCACAAAGTACTTAACTGTTTCCCTTAGGTAATCAGACAGGAGAAAAAAGAGACAGAAGAACCTATTGTTGATTGAATGCGTTTTTTAAAAAAGCATCTTGGCCTTTTAAATGTAATTTCTACGCCTGTTGAGGTTCGGCCTGATTTTAATTGAAGTCCACAGGTACTGGATATCATCACATCAGTTTTGCTGTTCTTCCCTGCTTTTCTTCCCAGACCAGCAGATGCAAAGGAATTTTTGTGTTTTTGTTTTAACAAAATGTGATGTACCATTGGAATTCTAACCCGATTGTAATTTTATTTTCAGACCAGCCTTTTAACAGCTGTCTGTTTTCAAAAGACTTTTAATACAAATTGCATTTGTAAAAAAAAATGGATTTGTGCTCTCTGTTTTGTTCACACTCTGTCAAGTATTGTAGGTACAAATGTGCATTTGATACAGACCTCCGCTTTTAAAAACACACACTGTACTGCTTTTGTAGTTTAACTGCAGTTTCTGCACTACAAAGTATGCTTTGCAGATTATAAAGAAATCTCAAATGTGTTTAATGTCTCCCTTAGCTGTCACTGTCATTTTTAGTGCTAGTAGTCCTTTGGGTTTTCCTGTTGTCTGCAGTCTTGTGAAATGCTGTGTTTGCACCACACAGGGATTTTAGCAGCAACGTAGAGATTGAGTCATCCAGGGTGAACATAAGTTAGGAAGGGTGTGTAGCAGATAACCTGTTACACTCAATTTCTCTGTAGTATAAAAAGCAGCGTTAAAAGTATTTAGTACCTGCCTTTGTCATTCTCATAGCCGGAAATGGAAAAATGTGATTCACCACATTCTAGTTGAATCACTCTTGACAGATGAAGGAGAAACTGCAGAAACCATCACACACTGAAGTGTAGTAGACCATACTGTGGATCGACAACGATTCCCAGTAAAGCAGTGCGTTTGTTTTAATTTGTTGATAGTGGCGGTGTGTTGTTGATAGTCTGTGTTTCCCAGCCCCGTGTCAGTGGTATCGTCTGTGTCTGTGTGTTTCGGCTGTTTGATTTCTGGCCGTTTTCTGCACGCAGGGTCTTAGTTTGAGAAAAAAAATCTCCTGTTTGTTTATTGTTATCAGGAAACATAGCGGATAGATCTCTTTCCACTTGGTTTAAATTGTTGCTTTCCCTGTACCTTTATTGGTTGTCCCTAGTTATCAATTAGTGAAGAGTATACACAAGAGAGAAGGTCAATATATCGAACACTCACATGATAAGCATTCTTGGGAACCTATGGACTTGTTGCTTAAGTTCCTGTCACTTAGGTTTCTCGTTTGAAGGTGAAATACTGAAACCCCGCTTCTGGTCCAGACTAAATGCAAATTTTATACCTTCTTTTACTATGCAAGCCATGAAACTGTAAGCAAATAGCTCGGTAAACGTAATAGATGAATGGTTTAGTTTGAACAAAAACTCAAAAGACGTAGGGGTATTCCAGGGACAGGGCTGGAAAATGGTGATGGTGTTTAATGTGGTTCTGTGGGTGTACCACGTTGTAGTGTGTCTTCAGTCACCTCATGCTTTTGTTTTACAGGAAAGTGATTAGCAAGATAAAGGATTTGATCTTTCAGAGGTTGTGATGATTTGTTTCTCTGTCGATATGTGTTTGAAAGATGTTTACTTTATTGCAATCTAGAACTGTGTGGAGCTGCTTATTAAGCTGTGATCAGGAGGCACTTTTTTATCCAAAGTGTTGTGAGAGTCTGGAACTGGCTGCCCAGTCCTGTTCTTGAAGCAGATGCCCCAGTGTCTTTCACGAAACAGCTGGGTGACATGCGTTCCTAGCTACAAAATCAGCTAGATGGGACGCAAAACCTCCTGCCATTTGTAACCGTCCTTTCTTAATTTCAAATGTACTTGTTAGAGAGTGCTTTGCAACGGTTTTCTTTTTTTGGCGCTCGAGGGACTCCAACTGCGATACCTGAAGTGTGTGCGTTTGAGAGAAGATGACAGGGAATGTGGAATGTTTTTTTCTTCTTCAAGGTGCAGCTGTTGCAATCTTGATGGTTACTGTCTAAAAAACTGTAAGAATCATTTGAGTTTGTTTCCAGAGCATTGAATGAATCTAAACCCTCCTATTTAAGAAGTATGTGTTTAGTTGTTTATCATGTTTTTTTTGTTCTTGTTGGCGTTAAGAATGAGCTAATCATATCATCTGAATGTTTCCTCAGCAAGGTTATATGCATCTCTGCGGCATATAGGCTGTGAATCAGAATGTCAGATTTAAAATTGTCTGCTTCAGATTTAAATGTCAAGCTGAAGTGACAAGGAAGTTCACTTCAAGGATTCCTAAGCATTCCCTTGTCTCACTAAAAAGCATCTGGTCTTTGTAAAACACCTTCAGTGCTTATTATGACTCAGAATTGTAAGTTCAGTTCATTTATGGATGATTTTTAAAATAACTGAGATGGATAAGTAATGAGTGCCGAGAGCTGTTCTTTTCAGGTTGGTTGATCATTGCATATCATACAATACTCGATTGAGGTGTGCACACTAAAACTGAACCAGTAGTTCACAAACTGTGTTTTAGACTTTTCATATACTGCGCTGGCAGCTGTCTTCTTGTTTGGATAGTTTGTCCTTTAAGTTCTTACCCTAAAACCCTCCCTGCCACTTTCCAGTGTATGAATGAAACATTACTGGGCCTGCTGTATTAAGGCACAGATGACACCAGGCCTCAATCATAAGTGTTTCAGAACTAAGTTCCCAATTTCTCTTCTGGGCTTATTTCACTTCCCTTATTCATTTCTTAAGGCGAACAGTCATGAAACTTTAATTGAAGTAAGCTTGGTCTCCCAACTTCTTCCTTTCTGCCTCAATCATTGTAATTGAGTGTGAAATTCTGGAGCTTTTTTTTAGGACTTGACCCTGTTGTTTGATTGACATGCCTTGTTGAGGAGATAGTTCCAGCCAAAGCGGGGAAAAAAAGACAAAAAATTGGTTTGGACGTGATATGTCTGAGAGATTGGATGAAAAAGGGCTGTTTTGCCAGTAGACGCTGTCATATGAACTAAGCATTAAGCAACAGGAAAATGTAACTCTTTTCATTGAAACGTTCTGTGATGCGTCAAACAGAACCGGAGCTGTGTGTTTGTTAGTATCTTGATGAGATCAGGGCCGGAAAATATCCTTGAAGTGGCTCAGCCGTCCGTGGCTGTGTTTTTCTTATGTAGCGCAGTTCCTCTGGGTGTTGTCATGAGCGAAGGTCTTGGTTCCTCTGAGTGGTGCTGTCCTCCTGTACTGAAGATGGCCTCTGTGGTTCCCTGCGGTGCTCATCTCATATCCGAGGGTGACAAGGGTCGCGTCGTCTTTCACTGTGGTTCTCCTGAAGGCCACAGTGGTTTTTATTACACTCTTCTTCTCCCGCGTTATAACAAGGAAGCACTGCACAGATGGACCATTCATGCAGATATCAGTGCTGTCTTTCGTGGGTTTTCAAGTACAACACAGTGAATTTCGATCTTCATCCATCAACAAGAGAACCACTGAGGAGATGCACTGATAAATGTTAATTAGACCTGCAGGGGTGTCACATTGCGTGCAAACCCTTTCTTTATTTTTCCCAAAAGAAGTATGAGCTGTCTGTTATGTATGGTTAAAAATAATCTGAATTTCAAATTTAGGAGGCTCGTAGGTCTGGCAGCATCATCTATTGCTTTGAGCACAGCCTTCAATTAATGAGTGTGCAGAATACCCTGAAATTCTTGTGGATTTTTGTAATACTTATCACCCGATTGTCCTGACATGTTTCAGGCATAACCTTCAGATTGCTAGACGCACTTTAATAAAAATAACTTGTCTGAGCAGAGGACTCAGAACTGCATAGCAATTTACTGCAACTAGAGTGATGTGCACGAAACCCGTTTGAAATATCAGGTCATCATTTCCCACAAAGCTAAAGTTGTTTTACTCTCTTTTTGGTTTAATTGCATGGTTCCATGTTGTGAGTGCTTTATGTTGTGATAAGGTATACTTCAGTATATCTTCATTTCAATTTGTTCTGCTGCCCGTAGATGATTAGTATACTTTCTTTTGAAATTTAAGATGGTAGTTTCAGTAAAGTTTGATTTACTTTATGTTCCAGTGATCTTCAGTTAAAAACATGGGCTTTGCTACTCTTAAGGAAAAGGCTGTGTTTGCATATACTGTATACATGTTTTTAACAACCCTGTTAGTGTTCATTTCAGTAGCGCAAGGTAACAGAACTTCCTGCCTATAGTTTGTGTCGGTAGTGGGGACTGTTACATAGCTTCTTTGTGGAGCAGACTTACACACAAACATACATACTACTGTACATCCAGTTTAAAATCAGAGTATTTTCCCTGTTTACATTTCACCACACTTGACGGTTTGGCCAGGAATTTCATTTTATGTGCAAGCAGGTGGGTG